TCTATTTCTCCCTGGAGTTCTATGAATTTTTTGGTCACGTATAATCTAGCTCTATTGTTAGGTACATAAATATTTAGGACCATGATGTCTTCTTGATGATTTCACTCATACTTATCATGAAATATCCTTATTTATCCACAGTAATCTTCTTTGCCATAGACTGTACTTTGTTTGATATTAGTTTGTCCATTCCAAATTTCTTTTGCTCTATGCTATTCTGGTGTACTTGCCTTTTTTCTTTTCCAATATTTACTTTAAATTTGTTTGTGTCTTTCTAATAAAAGTGTATTTCTTATAGGTTCAAATATAGTCTTACATGTTTATCCAATCTGATAAATCTCTGTGTTTTAATTGAGACATTTAGACCATTTACCTTTAATGTGATTGTCTATTTGAAGTTGTACTTTAACTCCACTTATTATCTCAGCCCAAGTACTCCTACTTCTCCTTGCTTTTATCGCCATCTGACATAATTATTCTGTTCCAGTCTCTGGGACTCCTTGCCATTGTTCAAACACAAGTAGTTTCCTGTCTCCTTTTGTATTTACTACTTCCTCTGTTTATGTGATTTTTGTCAAGCATATTTATGATTCTCTCCTTTAAGCCTTTCTTCAACTGTCCTCTTTGCCATGGGATCCTCACTGATCATTTTACTTAAAATTGAATCTCTTCCCTCAATCCCTGGTTTTATTTATATTATTTTCTATTTTTTTTTCCTCAGGAGAACTTATAAAACGATGCATTGTACATTTTCTTTTCTGTGTGTTTTCTTTCTCCGCCACTGCCCCGCCTCCCCCCAAAAATGGATGGTACATGTGGCCAGAGATTTTTATCTGTTCTATTTTACTACTTCATCCATGGCACCTAGAAACATACTTAGCACGAGGAAGGTATTTGATAACTATACCAGATTCAAGCTTTTAAAAGATGTTAATTTTTTCTGGTCCTGAAAACCAACTTTATAACTTATGAGGGTATATTCAAACCGATGTAAGATATTTCCATGTAATATATGGACCTAAAAATATCTAAGTTGCATTGTTCCCTTCAGAACTCTATTTTCTAGAGGTATACCTTTTTTAGGAATCAAGAAGTAACCTGCACATCTGAGTACCCAAAGTCAACATCACATCATCTATATGGAATCCAACTGAGAACTCTCAGTGCCTCATCTCCCCCAGATTTCATTAATTTCATTTGTACATAACCCTATCAAACTTACTGTCCAGCTTTTGGTGCCACAGCAGAGTAGTAACCACACAATGTAGTCAGGAAAGTTATTTTTATAAGTAAGATTTTTATACTGGATAGGAACTAACATTGGTTTACTTTTCTTTATGCATAAGACCTATGATTTAATGCTTAATACATCACTCTTAGATATATTACTGTGTTCATTTTGCAGATAAAGATATTGAGGTCAGGGTATAAGTGACCCCAAATGAAAAGCTTGGATTTTTATACAGCTTTCTCTTTCTCCTAAGCCCACCTCTTCGTAGTTACATCATGCTGCTTCACTGTTAATGGCAAGAGTGGCAACTGATAGTCCACCAGCAAGGAAAGAATATAATCTAGACAGAAATATTCAGACCACAGACCATCCTACACACCACAATTGGTGTCGAAGATGTCATCTCTGGATAGCACAGCAGAGTCATTAATGTTCATAATGATAAAACCAAGTCATCAAAAAGAGATTAATTACATTCCATCTACTCTGTTTAAGAAGGCAGAGAAGTGTGAAATCCATTTTAGAAAGATTTCCATCAAAAATGATTAAAATTTTCAACTATCCAGAATGATTCATTCCCTGGGGTTTCTACATAGCCAAATATGTAAATGAAAAAACACAAATATTGCCCATTTTCCACAAAACAAAGCAAACAAATCACATATACACAAAGGTGTGGAAAAGATTCAACTGAACTGTGATTTGGCTACCCCTACAGTGCTTACCAGGGTGTATAGCTAAACTGATAGGCATTCATTTTTTAAAATAATGTGTACCTTTTCTCATTGGTCAGGTGTCCATTTGAATGGTTAGTGCCCCTGCCAGGAAGGTTTTAATTATTTTGATTATTTTTTTCCTGCTATATGATCTTAAAGGGAGGGGTTAATGTATTCCCCATAGTTCTGAGCACATAGTTGAAATGAGTGTGTGTCTTTCACCCACAGCTTCCTAAAAACCTAACTTGGCTTTAGGTACAAAAGAGAGGTTATTTTTATTACAGAATAATACTTGATTTGAATTTCAGTTATAAAAACAAGAAGCAAATGTACTCCTCATCTCAGTCTAGTGCTTCATAAGTGGTAAAGTATTTAATAAATATTAGTTAAAAGAATTCTCTCCACCCGTAGAAAATGGTTAAATAAATTGTGTTAAATTGCAGCACATCTAGGTGATGGAATGATGTCTACCTATTTCAAGTAATGAGCTGACAGATGCTCATATGGATATTTATTCATCCTCTATCCTCATTTACTAGAAGAATTTTTGACTTCTAATAAGTGCTCAATAAATATTGATTGAAAGGATTAATGAATAAGTTAAATATAAAATTAATGAACAAGTTATAAAACTCTATTGATATAAGTATATGATTAATATGACAATTTGGGGGAGGGGATAGGCATATAACTAAATCAAGAAATATTTGCAATGCTACATGGCAAATTATTACTAGTAATCACTCTGGTAAACTCCACCTTTTACTTTACTTATATGTTATTTAAATGTTCACCAAACATGTGCATTACTTTTATAATTGAAATAACTTATGGTATTACCATCACAAAAGTGTTTCACTACCATCTGATAGTCTGGTAGTTAAGTGTTCATGATAAAAGGAAAAATTGAGATGCTATCAGCTGCCCACGATGTAGAACATTTCCAGAACACTGCTGACAAGACCAAAAACAATGTCTCCATATTGAGAAGCCTTAAGTGGGCAGGTAGTGGAGAGGTGTGAAAATTAACCAAAAGAGGAACCATCAAAAATATTCAAAGAAGGAAAGATGGGAATGAACTCCTCAATATGTCTGGAACTTCCTTTTGATTATTAAAATGTTGGGAACTAAATAGAGGTAGTAGTCCTCGTCATATAACATTATGAATGTCACTGAATTGTTTACTTTAAAGGGGTTAATTTTACGTGATGTTAATTGTACCTCATTGAAACAAAGCAAAAAGAATGTATATTCACCAGATAAAAGTTTTTTAAAAAATGCATAAAGGTTTTGAAAATCCTCCAGGCAAATATTGGGAAATTTCTCAAGGGACTAATTCTCCAAATCAGAAAGAACCCATTGGGAACATCAGGGTCCAATTATAAAAATAAATCTTAGTCTAATATAAGAACCTTCCAATTGATTTTCCTTACCAAAGCAAGTTAACAAGGGGAAAAATATCATCAAATTTTGATACCAGAAATGGTCAACCATTCTCAGCCAGGTTGACCACACGTTGCTGCTATGCTCTGCAATGAGCTTCTCACCTGCATAGACCACGCGTTCTTCATATGTTTATCCCCAGCCTTTGATGGAGTGTCTGGCATGGTACACAGTGGTTGTTGAATGAAGCAGTTTAACATGAGGCTTAATGCTGCAAGAAATGACCAGTTTGGTGCTGGCCAGTGGAGGACGAAGGCCAGGATCTACAAATAAAAGCAAGCAACATTCTCAGAATAGCTTATTTCTTTCCAGCAAGGCCTTCTGCCCATACAAACACCTAAAATTCTCTTAGAAAGCTCGTGGAAAGGGATATTCCAAGACTCTACCTCCAGATAGTTGTGTTCAGGGAAAACTTAGAAATCTGTTTCACAAAAGGTTCTCAGACCACACTTCTAGAATCCAGGCTCTAGCTTCCAGCTGTCTTCCTTAATTTGTGGCAGAAATGGAAGCTCAGGACAGGGACAGCCAATGTCTTTTCACATAAAGAAATGTGGAATAAATAACTACTAGACTCTTTTGACCTGTTTTCATTCAGTGTAGGAAATACTTTATAACAATCAAAACTCTCCAGAAAATGAAAATGACTCGTGGTGTTATAAGCTTTAGAAACATGCTTGAAAGAAACATTTCTCAGGGAGTTATAATAATTCTCTTGCACTAAGAGGGATTTCAATTGGTTGGCTCCCAGGGTTCCTTCCAACTCGGGTTCTCTGATTCTATATTAAAAACAGCTTGAGCGGGCAAAAAAAAGCAGATGATTCATATATATCTAACTGCTTTGAGAACTGTATATTTCTATAAAATAAGAAGTATTATTTACAATACTCTTGATTTGGGGGCTAGTATCTAACATGGTTTTTTGAAGTTTTCTGAACTTCATTTTAATTTGCATGAAAAAATCAAATACAATATTGCATTGAAATAGAAATTTGAGGGATAAATTTTATTTGTACAATATAATAGGGATGAGGTTTTTAAGATCTATTTTTGTCATTGGGCTTAATAATTTTTACTTTTTCTGATTTAAAAACTAATGGTGAAAAATTTGCAAAATTCAGAGAAATTTTAAAAGGACATAATATAAAGTCACATATGATTTCACCACTGAGAATTAACCTTAAAGTAACATTTGGAGCTATTCTTTACCCATCCCACTCAAATACAATGCTATGGTAAATACATAATGAAAATGATTGTATCTGGAGCATTGATTTACCTTTACATATTTAGGATGGATCCTCAGCTATGGAGACTCTATTTTCAGCCCTATGAATATTTGCAGACATTCCATGCATATTTTCAAAATGCTTTACAGGAAGATTGCACCAATTATGGTTCTTCCAACCATGGAGGGGAGACCTAACGCATTGCTCGGTGGCAAGTATCAGTATTAACATAAAGAAACAACCAGAAAAATTTCCACCAAATTTAATGGGCAGAAATTTGAAATTTTGTTTTTCCTTATTCTCCTTTGATTACTAAGGAGCAAATCTGAATATATTTGCAAGTCCATGTTACTCTATATATCATTTTTTCTTTTAATGTTTTAGGTCTTACTTCAATAGTTTAAAATTTTGCGTCCCACCCAACCCACTGCTGCAGAGTCAACCTGGAAGAACTGAAAGGCTCTTCAAGATGGCGGACCAGAGGGAGGCAGCATTCTGTGTTGCTCTGTGATTCAGATCTCACCGAGTTGGAATACTGCATCTCTGAGAGTGTTGAGGACCTCTATATAGCTGCTCTCCACAGAAATCATCAGCACTGTGATCCCACACAGGCCTCAGTGGTCCAGTAGGACGCCTGGCATTCAAGCAGGACCCA